TACTGAGTAAACTCGATAGACGACCCAAAAAACCTGAATTCCATGGGTCAATAGAAAATATTGATTTTGGAGAAAGTGTCACCACAGGGATAAAATGGCTCTTGGTCCACCTTACGACCACTTCACGTGCATTCCTCGTCAGTCGCCGGTACACCCAATGTAGCGCGCCACTAGCAAATGATAATGTGCTGGTAAAGTCCAAAGACCAATAGAGATAAAAGAGCGGATACCGCGTTTATCTGTAAAGGACATACCGTCTAGGACTTCTAGATCGCGACTTCGAACGTGATCGACTTCGACTTTTAGCTCTGGCGTTTCTTCACATCTTCTCGATCAGAATCTATAAAAGCATTACTCTGATTAAATAAATTACGACACAAATGCCCAATAAGTTAACTAAGTGCAGGAAGACTTAAATTCAACCTTACCATCGTCTGGCTTCTTCTTTTCAACAGCGAGTTTCTGAGCAACGAGTTGCGCTTTCGCAGCCTTTTGCTCTGCTTCAATCTTTGATTCGCAGTTTTTCAATTTTTTCGTCCATTTCTTTCCAGCTGACAGGCCTGGCATGGAAAAATGGAAAATGTTAAGAAACACAATAGCTCGCAACTCTTTTTCACTATCACATCCAAGGAATGCAACAAAAATTATGCTCGCGCTTTGCCAAAGGTCTTAGTGAGGTTGCCAGGAGTCCTCACTTAGGGTGTTCCCGATAATTTTTTTTGCTTCTTTCTTCCCCGGAATGTCACTAACGACTTTAGGCTTAAATGAACGCCAAAATATCCACAATATGCGATAAATCCACAGTATGCGATTTCTCGGTTCGCCTTTCAACGGGAACCTTAGCGAAAAAAACGTTTTGACGTTACGATAGCCAATAATGCCCACTTTACCAGCTAAAAGTGACAGCCTGATACCTCAGGAACACTTACCTTTTGATTGGCGTACATATTCAAGAGCATCATAGCTATCGTGTGAACATCAGTATCAGACGCATCAAACAGCTCATACCTAAATTTTTATTGGGAAAGATTGGGTGGGTTAGGAGGCCAAAATGGCGAAAGCAATGGATTAATTCACACCACTCACCAATGCCTTGGTTTGTCAGGGAGTGGCACTTGTGGCTGAACTGTTCGAGAGGCCAAAAATATACAAGCACATGCAATGGTTTCTGGTGAGTACCGTACAAACATGTCTGTCCTCAATCCATCATTCATGTATGTCCTGGAATGTACCCTATGAGAACCCATGTTCTGTTTCTACGGAGGAAGAAACTAACCATGCCCTCTGGATAAGGTCGGTTCGATGATGCGCCCGCAATACGAAACAATAGGCACATATCAATTTATGTGGATGTTTGACGTGGACGACAAATCCTAACGTTGCCAGCAGTCTCCTTTCAGCTTTTATCATCTGAAAACCAATTAATTGAAAGAAGTTCAATCACAGGTTCCTAGGAGCTTCACAACAGCAAAAGCAAAATGAGAAACTTCCAAACGTACATTGTTCTTAGTGTTGACGTAGCTGATGTCAAGGGGTGGAGGCTTCAGTCGAGCAGCTGTGTCGCTATAACATGCATTACGTAAGAGAAAAAGAGAGAAAACACACCTGAATTGTGGTTACATAAGTTCACCTTCATCAGAACGATAGCTAATCATTGAAATTTATTGAAAATGTAAGAAACTTCCAATGCAACAGGAGGTCATGAAACGCATGACATATATTTTAGTAGTAGAACTACTGTTTAACGCCGCAGTACGCAGATCCCAGACGGGACTCGAACCCGCATCTTCCGCTTACCGGGCGGGTAGTGTAATCCACTACGTTACCGGGACCGTTCTTACCTTCTCAGCTCATTGTGCCATAGCCTGACAGCACTCACACGTTTAACGTGATGAGCCGCTCAGTCGAAAGTTGGCAGTGAACCGCAGGCTGAAGCTTCAAAGGTTCAAAAGCCATTGAACTGAGGGGGTAAGACCTCCGTAGCGCCATAGATAACGCACCCGCTTGGTATGGGAGAGATGGAGTTCGAGTCCTGTTTATGGACCGACTTCTGCACCAACTCAGTAGTCTTGTGATAATTTTCGAACCATAATATATGTTTTTATAAATATTTCACAGCTTTCTCAGGCAGCAAGAATTTAGGTACATCCTAAAGTCAATACAAATCATGCTCTCTGGATGATGTGCCACATGTGTGTGTTCCACTTTTACTTAAAGCTGCGCTGTACGCTTAGCCTTCACGGTGTAAACTTGGCAGGCTGAAGGTGGACAGGTCTATAGCTGTCGAATTGTACCACTTCCATTTTTTCTTCTCAATTGAAGAAATTAAGTTAGTGGGTTGTGACAATAGGATTCCGTTGAGAAATCCACCCACTATCCGCAACGTGCGCTGATCTCGTGGTGCCGCAGCCAACAACATGAACGGCAAGCTTCCTGTCGCGGCAAAACCAAAGGTGAGAGGGCGCAGACGAGTAGAGCTAAGGTTAGGCGTGCGTCTGTTCAGCGGCTAACTGGTTTGCTTGTGAATCCAGTCCGAAACGGTGTCTGGCTCTCGCCCCCTCCAGCGTTCTTTCAGCGCAATTTCGAGGAAGTGAAAATATTACATTTCAAGAGCTACGCAACGAGGCAAGCCTACAACGCATCTTAAAGACTGAAGCGTGGAAATGCTTAAAATGTAATACGAAACATGAAGCATTGAAAATAACTGAGCTTAAATGTGATATTCCCACTGGAAGTTGGGGCTATACTTTTGATGGACTCTTTGTTTTGTTAATGAAATATGGATGATCCAGACATTTGGTTGAAATAACGTTATGGGGAAAAACACATTGGTGCCACATTTTGTACTGGCATGCCTGGTTTCATTATAGTTCCAAGTTCTTATTCACTAAAATAGATGAGACTTTTCCAAAAATGGAGGTTTAAGCAGCTGTCCTATCCCTTTTGTTCTATAACAAGATCCACATTTATGAAGTTTAAACCTGTGAGATCACCGAATTTCCACGATAAATAAACAGTGAAAGGCATAATAAGGAGACTGAAACGCCGCGTAAAATAAATGAGTAGGAGCGGTTATGCTAACCAGGGCAACAGTGTAAAGAGGCAATGTTTCGTTCGAGCACCCATTTGTATTAATTATGTGCTGCCCTCTACACTTGAGCTAGCGCAGCGATGATTGCACTGACAATCGCTATTCCTTCAAACTCGTGGGCGCTTTAAGGGATCGACATTTCTGAAGGCAATCCCCGCGCTTTAGTAGTTTGGTCGTCCTTGCTTGTGCAAATAGTCCAGCCCCCAGGCTAGAGACATTCGCGGCACGGAGGGTACTATGGCAGCCCAAAGTTCTAGATCTAACACCCGCTCAGTTAGGCCGCCCACCCAACGAATGTCCTCACCACACCTAAAGCAGGGGCGGTCAGCTGTTGCTTGTTGGAGCGGCGGGCATAAATCCGAACTGTATGTCTACTTCTGCCGACCAAGCTCGTGCTCACAAGTGATTCCGCGCTCTTCCATAATTTTCTTCATTAGGAGCACATGCAGTCAGCATCAACCCATCTCGCAAGGTGAGGCTTCTAAAATCACCAAGGATGCAAATTGTTGGAGCAAAAGCCGTACATCGTTACATTCACCCTAAATTCGTACGCAAATTTTTCGAAAGTTTCTTTTTGTTATGAATTTTGCGTTGTGTGTTGTTCTTGTTCTTGTTGTTTTCCGTTTTTTGTTTGCATGGGATGATATTTACTACTGGGAGATGCGAAAAAGCGATTTGTGAGCTAGGGGTTGCACAGAGACCGCAGGGCGGTGTGACTGTCAAGGAGCGTTTTTGTTTATGGTGTACAATTCTTTTCGTTCTTTTACTTCTTCGGGGGTCCTTCAGCTACTGCTTCATAACTGAACACCAACAATCCATGACACTTGATCGCGGAAACTGTTTTAAACCGGTGGTCTACAAATCCTTCAAAACTCAGCAGTATCTCCCCAACTCCACGGAGAAGCTCACCGGCACGAGCACGCGTCCGTATCACCCGTGTCGCCGCAGCGACAACGAATGCAAGCTCAGCGCCCCACCACGGTTATACAAAAACTATGAACTCACAGGATTTTCGCAGATAAATACTTTACAACACTATGACACGAAAGGAGGAACGTACCGCACAAGGAGTGACAGCACAGGGACATGATAGACAGCTGAGGAGCACATTGTAAAAGTAAGGAATCGTTTGATTGGAAGAAAAGCGCAGTTCTAATGTGAGGACCAGTTGTAACTGCCATTGTCCCCACTGACTGAAGGTGAACATAGGTTGATAAAGAGCCATTTCCTTTAGGCACATTGGTCAGATCCCTCACCGCACCATCGTTGGTCACCGCGCAGCAGATGAAGCCCGTGACCTTTTCCCCTTGTTTCTCCACATCAGTCTAGCATTAATGCAAGAAAACTGCATTTCAGGTTCCTACAGAACGGCCACTGCTTTTGAAAAGAAACGCAATTGTTCCTTATTTTGTTTTGAATAAGCTTCCACCGAGATGGTTACGTGACAACTAAAACTTTTGTTGGGGATCCTGCTTCGGAAGGCCAGAACGCACAGAAATGCGGTCGAAAGAATTCAAGAGCTCACCGCAACAACAAAAAAAACATATCGCGAACCGAGAGATGGTTTTCTCCGAAAAAGAGTGGGCACCGGCTTATGAGCCACTTTTTATGCGTGGAAAGTTGTTAGTTGAAAGCTTGAAAGTGAAAAGTCAGAACGGTAACTGAACGCCATGAAGACGTGAGGGCGCAGAGAAAAACGAAAGTTGTCGCCTTTGAAGGGATTGAGTTGTCCTGTAGCCACCGAGATTGCGCATATTTCGGGCAATTGGGCGCGACTAAGATAAGCTACTCGGAACACAGGTACGCCGATTGAGCCCTTTTTTCGAAAAACTGAGTTACTGAAGTATTGTACCGACAGCCACTCGTTCCATATCTCCAGAGTGACTCATTCATTTTGAGTGAGGTAATTAGATTAATGGCAAGGCCAAACCCTGTATTAGCCTTTCTCGCTAGGGCAGCATTCAGATTTTTGCGATGGTTGGCGTTTTTGGTGGAAACGCGATCAAATACGCGCGGTAATGATCGCGATCGGCTTGTACTACGGCGATTGCGTCGTACGGACGGCCGAAAGCTGCCGTCGCGAAGTCTGCACGCTTTTGGGAAATGTATTTGAATTTCGCGATTTTTCGTGGATAACTGGTGTGCTAGGTCAATGGAGAAAGAAACCATTCGCGTTTCGCAGCGGTTCTTCCACTCACGTTCATTTCCCCCTCGCATAAGTGAAGTGCAGACAACCAGCGAGATGGCCCCCACTCAACTACAGTAGCACTCGACAGACTGAAGGAAGTTTGTGGAAGAGTCGAAGGACCAGCGGAAGGGCTGCAGAAGACACCCCCAGGTCATCATATACAGAAGTCCCCGGAAACAGGAAAGCCGTGGCGGCGCGATTCTAGCGGCCCAGCCGCGAATACTGAGCAAACATACGGTAACAAGGGCAGTGGGGAGGAAATAGTTCCGATAGTGCTGCTACATAAAAAAAAACTCGCAGGGATGCCTAAATTTCGCCAATAGTATCAACCCTCAATGGTTTAGCCGCCAACTACTCTATGAGTAACGATTTTCCCCAAATATGAAATGATCTATACCAAAGAGACGGGAAATAATGTCGAAGAACTAGTAGGATTTGCTTTCACCACTGAGCCAGTGACTTTTACCTTTCCCTAATCTAAAGCGATCCCTAATCTAAAGCGATTTTTACGGGGTACCCTTTCAACAGAATATAACACTAAAATCGTTAATTGGATGCATCGCATCGATGCAGCGGTATCTAGGAAGTCCCTTAAGTCGCTGCGCACACCTTCTAACTTTTTGGAGCTCGAAGTACGAACATGGAAGGGAATAGAGTTTCGCATTCACGCGAAGAGTCCAGGTCTTAGGATGGGTGAAGAGAACAATGTATTTGTACATGTAGTGGACAACAAAAGCAATTTGTTTACGCATCTAACTCTAGCAAACAATAGGAAGGCGCAAGTTGAGTCCGCCAACTAAGAGAGGGCATTTTTGAAGTTTTCCAGGCCTGCGTTACTCATTCCGCGGCTTATCTGAACATAACCTGACCACCACATTTGTCAGCGAATCTTTCTATAGTATCACTTTGTTACTATTTTTTTTATTTTACTTTTTTTCGTATTTACACTTCTGTGACCCTTCTTGATTTCACAACTGTACTGTCCCGATGTCTCACATCAGGATAGACAAGACTGCGGGGGCAACTATCTGGGAGTTGCAACTAACACAAGCAGAGCACAAAACTTTTACTGCACAAGTACTCGGAGGTCTGAAAAAAGATCAAAAATTTTCAACACGTTTCTGAATAGTTCGGTGCCTAGCGCCTGGCGACCTGAGATATATCAGGCTGCTGAAGAAAGCACTGAATTATTCGAAAATGTATCTAACAGTTTTTTGAAATTTTCGAGTTATTGTGCAACGGAAGCCTTAGAAGCTTGCTTGCGTCTAAAAACATTCAGTACTTTGATGCTATTCTTTATAAGGAAGAGTCTGTTCTTCTCTATACTACACTATTCCATAGCCTGGATGTAAATCAGGACATTGAATCAGTGGCAACGAGGGCGAACCACCCAGTACTCCTACATAGCTGGTGCGAAATAGCTTTTAGCGTCGAATCAGCATTAACGTGGTTTGCAGAGAATGGGCAAAGAAGCACATGGACGCTCGACTTCACCTGATCTGTGAAAACCCGCAAAGATTCTGGTCATAAGAGATTTAGCCATACGTGCTCCAGCGCTGTCTGCAACATTCCCCCTCGAGGTGAAGGGAACTTCAGTAAGCCCCACTCTCTGCAGTTATCGCTAGCGTATGGCTATTGTCTCTCTACCTATGGATGATCTGCATCCCTACTCTTCTGGCACAAGTTCAGCGAGAATAGTACTATGCAAATTATAGTGGGCAGTCGCGTACGCGTTCTCCCCCAGCACCTGCTGTTGTTGAGAGGAAGGGAAAGTGGAGGGGAAGAGCGGGGGGATGAGGAAATAAGGGTACAGAATGGATAAAAGGGATGCAACGAACGTTGGCAGAGAGAGGAGTACGGAGCAGATGGTTACAACGGATCCCTCCCCCTCGCGATCTATCGCATTACGCTTATTGCTAACCTTGATCTTTGGAAAGAAATTCTGCACCTTACATATATTATTTCAAGGATGTGACCAGAGTTAACGGTGTATTCAATAAAGAAAGCCATAACACGAGGACCTATACTTCAATTGTATATTTGAGCGTTTTTGCTAAGGTATGTAACATACGTTCGAGCTGCCGGGAGGAAGGACACCTTCTTTCGAAATTATTTTGAAATGATTCTCCGTGAATGTTTGCTTGGATTTCTAGTGTTTCATTGTGTTGTTTTCATTTTAATCGAATTTGACTGACTTTGTTTGAAGGGAATATTTTTGTTTAGTGATGAGTGAGCGAAAATCAATGATTCTGGCATGCAGGCCGCACGACTGCAATCCGCGCCTGACGGCCGCCGATTGTCACCGTTCACTCACATTCGTATTTGGACAAACCGTTGTCTCCAGCAGCCAGTATCGCCGTTGGCTTCGAGTTTTTTCTATAGAAAGGAATCCCTCGAGACGGAACACGGTAGCCATCCAGTCGTCGCTAATAACCAAGCGCTGCTAGCCGCAGTCGAGAAGTATCCCACTTAGACTGTTCGCTCCCTTGCCAAGTATTCTAGATGCTCCAAACTTCTTAATGGTCACCTTCTCGGGATTGCCAAGAGTAATCGGTGCGGAAGATGTAAGTCGCACGCTCCACGTCGCGAGAACCCGTCATAAGAAGATAGAAGAACTGGGCTGGAACGTTCTGCCCCATACACCTTACAGCCCGGACATGGCGTCTTTTGGACCATCATATGTTTTAACCAGTGCAGCTTATCCTGGGAGAGCAGAGAATCGAAAACATCCTTGCGGTAACAATGTGCGTGAACAGCTTCTTCAAGTCGCTTTCAGCCAAGTTCTATCACGACAGCCTCCACTCCTTGCCTGCATCATGGAAAAGTTGGGTTGATAATTGTGGAGATATATTGCTGAATACATATATGTGCTCGTGGAATTATTTGTAATGTTTAATAGCGATCAAACGCGCATTCTTTTAAGACAACCATATATACTTAGCTGACCGTAAACCTTGCATAACCCAGCATCTTCTTCTAAGCTTGGAAACTACATAAACTCGTGCAGAAACGGCAGGGGTACAGTCCAAATAGTGAATATCCACATAGGTTAGGCTTCTGTCTACTGCTTAAACAAATCTCGATCAAAAACACGACTTGCAGAAACATTCCGCGATCAGCTCAGTTGAAGAATACTCACGGTGAGGATGGCAGACCGACAGGTAAACGCAAAATTTGTGTAGGCTTCACAACTCAACTGCGATGAGTGACTACACATCCACGGACTCAGCTCGGTGTAGATTGCATGACTGCATCAACTATTTGCATGATGCTATTGCGAAACGCTGCAGCGCAGACAAATAGTGGACTGCGG